TCTCTCTCTCTCTCTCTCTCTCTCTCTCTCTCTCTCTCTCTCTCTCTCTGTGTGTGGTGTGTTTGTGTATGTGTGTGTGTCGTTATGTTCGCTATACACAACTCCATAAAAAAACACAATTAAGCCAGACTGTTTCATCGGACTTCCACCGACTCGTCAGGAGGTTGAACCCCGACAGTCTGCCCGGGATGAATTTGGCTGATGGATAAGGGTTCACCATGTCTCGTGTGTGTGTGTGTGTGTGTGTGCGCGCGCCAGACACATGTGAAGTGGCAGTCGAGCGTGGTAGTGTAGAGTCGCGCAGTAAGTCGAGCGCAGCAGTGCAGAGTGAAGTAATAAGGTCGAAGTCGAGTGTAGAGTAGCGTAGGGGTCGATCTTTCCCACGCCATGGGATTTGCCCGTGCCACCACAAAGTCAAAGTCGAGCGTAGAGTAGCGTAGGGGTCAAAAAGTAGCGTAGGGGTCGATCTTTCCCACGCTGTGAAATTTGCCCGTGCCACCACCAAAAAGTAGTTACACGGCACTCTGCGGCGCGTCTATCTGAGCCCACGCCACTTGACTCCCAGTAGTACCCCACGGCACTCCACGGAGCGTCTATCTGAACCGTCGGTCCGGACCGACGGCGTGGATCTCAGCGCGGTCCTAAGATCTTAAGACCGCATCTATCCAGGCCGTCGGTCTGGTAGGACCCGACGGCCCAGATGGAAGATTTGTTACATGGTTCGGTCGATCTGGGCCGTGGGCCGGCAGGACCGACGACAGCCCGGATTTCAGATTTGTCACGTTAGCGATTGTAATAGTGTAGGGAAGAAAAGAACCAACAGTCTTTTCATTTCTGCTGCCTGAAAACAACCGCTAGATGCGCGGCTCCACATGCATCTCCAACACCGTGCGGAGTCACATGCGTTGGACTAGTTCAATGTTGAACTAGTTCAACCGTGTATGTGGGACTTGGCCCCCGGGACCACTTGGCCTGGGACCAAATAAAAAATAAAAATCTATAAAAATTTTAAAAAATGATATTTTTATTTTTATTTTTTGTTTCAAATTTGGTAAAGAATTTCGATGTGACCCTGAGGCAAAAGTTGTTCAGTTTATTTTTCTGCATAAGCAGCATAACATATTTTTTTTTCAGATTTTTTAACCATTTTAAACATTTTTGGATTTATTTTATTTTTATTTGCTTTTGCTGGGACCCGATTTGATCCTTGCACGTCCGGGTCGCCTAGGCAAACAACGTGACGCGGACGGCCCACCTGGTAGCCTAGCATATTACTATATTGTCATCCAACCCAGGACACAGGGACGAGCTCCCCCAAAATCCCCAGACATCTTGGCAAAGGCTGGTTCACCTATGAAAGGGCAGACAGACAGGCAGAAGGAGGAACAGTGTGATAACAATGCCATGAACTGATCATACGGTTTCAAACCTGAATGGCCAATCAATCACACTACGACCAGGGCTTGCAAGCATATACTGACTTTCATGTTCCCTAACCTTACCTAGCAGGCAAAACAGAACCCAGCAGTTCAGATGCACCGCCATGAGGCATTCCCAGCAGACACCATCCATGAAGCATTCCCAGCTGACACCACCTCCACAGAGCTCCGACCTACCTAACAAGCACAGTAAGTCGGTCCAAGCATAACGTCTCCCAGGCCAGCCATCAGTGATTAATTTCCAACAGAAGAAAACTACACCAGCCACCCTGAGAACAAACCCCATCCTCACTGCACCACGATAAGCACCACGCATTCAGGCAGAGTATGGTCCAAGTTCATAAATCGATCCGTCATGATTGACCAGGATCAAGAGCAGTTCACATCCCTAACCTGTGCCAGCTCTGCAGCTTTCCTCAGAAACTCCTTGATATCATATGATGAGACCTCCTGGCTGCTTGGAACAACATAGAGAATATGACGGTAGGAAACCGAATGTGAATGCCCATTCTGATCAGCAACAAGGCAATTTCGCTTTCCATCTGACTTCTGAACCACCCCAAAATATGTCCTTGAAGAGTTCCCACTCTCCTTCTCAAACTCAATGAGTACCCCCTTCTTCAAAATGCTGTCCCAATCTGCAATATCTGCGCCCTTGGCTGCCGCAAACTTCCTAGAAGATCTGTCCCCATCATACAGCCACCGAAAAACACGTCACAAACTGTAAATATCACATGCAAATACCACTCAAAGAAATGTTCGCTTCCTCAGCGGCTGGATGCACATGTATGTTGCATGCCCAAAAGCATCAGTGGGGCATGGCACAGAATCCAAGAACCGACCGAAGGAGAATGAGCAATATCAATGCAGCTGAAAATCGATACACACAGATGTGACTCAGAATGACTCGACTGACTGCATACA